AAAGCACTTGACTGCTAGCCAGAAGGCTGGCGGTTCAAACCCACCAGCCACTCCTTGGAAGGAAGGTTGGGCAATCCTACTTCCGTAGTGATACTGCGTCGGAAACCCAAGGAGGGGTCGCTATGAGTCGGGGCCGACTCGACGGCAAACAACAACAACAACAACAAGGAAACCACTCCTTGGAAGGAAGGTTGGGCAATCCTACTTCCATAGTGATACTGCCTCAGAAAACCAAGGAGGGGTCACTATGAGTCGGGGCTGACTCGATGGCACACAACAACAACAACAACAACAAGGAAACCAGTTAATACTACTATTATTCAAATTTAAGCACCAACCACCAAAGCCAAAGATGAGGAAACTGAAGATTTCTACCAACTTCTACAGTCTGAAATTGACCAAACATGCAATCCAGATGTGTTGATCATCACTGGTGACTAGAATGCAAAAGTTGGAACCAAAGAAGAGTTAGCAGGAGTTGGAAAATATGGCTTGGTGATAGAAATAACACTGGAGATCGCATGATAGAATTTTGCAAGACCAATAACTTATTCATTGCTAATACCTTTTTTCAACAACATAAGTGATGACTTACGTAGACTTCACCAGAAATCAGACTTTACTGGAATCAGACTGACTACATCTGTGGCAAGAGGCCATGGAGAAGTTCAATATCTTCATCCAAAACAAGGCCAGGAGCTGATTGTGGGACACACCATAAACTGCTTATATGCAAGTTCAACTTGAAGTTGAAGACAATTAAAACAAATCCACCAGAGCCAAAATATGACCTTGATAATATCCCTCTTGAATTTAGAGACCATTTAAATAATAGATTTGATGCATTGAACACCAATGACTGAAAACCAAAGGAATAGAGGGATGACATCAAGAACATCATCTATGAAGAAAGCAAGTGGTCATTAAAAAGATGAGAAAGGAACAAAAGACCAAAAGGGATGTCAGAAGAGACTCTGAAACTTGCCCTTGAGTGGAGAGCAGCTAAAGCAAATAGAAGAAATGCCCAGATAAAAGAACTGAACAGGAGATTTCAAAGAGCAGCTCGAGCAGACAAAGGCAATTGTTATAATGAAATGTGCAAAGACCTGGAGTTAGATAATCAAAAGAGAAGAACACACCTGGCATTTGTCAAGCTGAAAGAACTGAGGAAAAAATTTAAGCTTTGAGTTGCAATATTGAAAGATTCTATGGGCAAAATAGTAAATGATGCAGGAAGCATCAAAAGAAGATGGAAGGAATACACAAAGTCACTGTACCAAAAAGAATTAGTCAAGGTTCATCCATTTCAGGAGTTGGCATGTGATCAGGAACCAATGGTATTGAAGAAAGAAGCTGAAACCTGACAGAAGGAATTGGTGAAGAACGAGGCTCCAGGAATTGATGGACTACCCATTGAGAGATTTTTTTAACAAATGGATACCCTACTGGAGATACTTACTTAGCTATGCCAAGAGATTTGGAAGACAGCTACCTGGCCAACTGACCAGAAGAGATCCATATTTATACACATTCCAAAGAAAGGTGATCTCACAGAATGGGAAAATTATTGAGCAATATCATTAATAGCAAGTAAAATCTTACTGAAGATAATTCAAAAACATTTCCAGCAGTATATTGACAGAGTATATTGCAGCAGTA